CTCGGGTTGGGCCGGGGCTGCCGTGGCAAAGCCCTCCTTGGCTGGCCTTGGGGACAGTTAGGCGGGAGGGAATTCGGGTGAGGGGAGGGGGTGGGAGAAGCGAGTTCCACACATGCGTGTGTCATTGTTCTGTCCTCCCCGTGTGGCCCCGCATGTAAGCAACCTGAAGTAGTGCGCCAGGGATATTATTCTCCCTATCGTTTTCCTAGGAACAGACTAAAGAGTGAAGGTCATTCAGTGCTATGCCCTGCTTCTTGCTGAGGAATGCTGGGGCACGTCGCAGCACCTCCCTGATATCCTTCACCCCTTCCCGGAGGGAGTTAGAACGTGTGCTGAGCTTTTGCCGCCCGAAAGGGTGGGGGAAGGCAGAGGGCAAAGCTCTCGAATGTTCCCATTTCCCTTTCTCCACTCCCAACCACACATGCACAGGAGCCACAACGTTCAGTGGTCAGTCTACCACGATCCTGCTGAGCAACACAAAGCAAAAATCTTGGTTCATATTTTTCTCGAATGCAAATGCACATTGGGACAATTATCCACACCCTACCGAAGGGAAATACTGTCATGATATATCCCCTTGATTTTCTTTCTTCTCTTTTCAAAACCTAAGTGGTTTTGCTCATTTCATGGTGCAGTTTGGGTTTCGTTCGAGTGTTTTTTTTTAAATCTTGACCCCCTTTGTTGCAAGCCGAAACTATAAAGAATTGAGAACAGAGTAACCAATAGGTCACCTAAGTTTTATTGCTACATTAAAGGCAGAGAAGAAACTGGATTCCTTAGCAAAACGGCTAAAAATAACACTTTTTTCCATGTAAACAATTGTTTTAGCTGCTTCAGAGTTGCATAGTTTGACAAATGGGATGATGAGTTCAAAGCATTTGAACATGCTTCAGTAAAGTTTAGACACCCATTGCATAAGTTAGTAAGCTAATATCTTGTAACTTTTTTCCTAGCAGATGTTCCTATTGGTATTGCACACACAGAGCTGAAAATCTGTTGTTTTGCTGCTTTAACTCTTAGGTTTGTTACCATTTACTATATGTACATTAGGTCCAAGTTTAGCTATTTACTAAAAGATCAATACAGCTCTGAATGGACAGGTAAACTTTCCTTTTGGCAATGTCGGTTTCGCCTCCACTATCTTTTTTTTTAAGAGATGCAGTAGCATTGTAAGCTCTTTAAGTAATGACGTATCTCCTAGTGACTTCTCATTGTAACAGATTTGTTCTGAGACTTTCCCTTGCTACTTTCAGCTCTGTAGTGTACTTGCAGTATACAGCTGTTTCAATGTTAGTTTAACTCAGCTCATAAAAATGCTCTGAATATTTTTGTTTAGAACTGAATAAAGTACTTTGTTGATGATAAGTATAAAAAAAGCTAATATTGATAGCTTTTTAAAGCAAGTTTTTTAGACAGCAAAAGTAGGAATAGGGTTGAACAGAATTGTGTTCCACTTTAGCTTATAGTGTGCATTAGCAAGGAGACAATTCACTTGGCCAGCATGGAGAAAGCAGCAGGGGACAAAGTAGAAGAGGCACTGCATACTTTAAATATTTAATTAGGGTTGTCCCTTTCCTCCTTAACAGTTACTGGAGTGTGGGGTTTTTTGCCATACAGTTGCTTTTTTAAAAGCCTTTGGTTTGTTAATTTCCTGTTTCATATATCCCCTGTGTGACCTGAAGAATTGCACAGCTTTGTTGAAACACTTAGTATCCTAATACCTCCTAAGTCAAACTGATCTTTGATTTAAAGGAATGGAAGAGCAGGTTTAACATTGTGTAGAGAGGAACTGAAGATAGTACAAACACTTTGTTGTTACTTTATGAAACCTTTTAAGTTGTTAATGCATTAAATTATGGTACTCATTATTCCACAGCTGAGTTTAGTTTGAAGCTGAATTTTAACATGGAAGTATATTAAACAATTTTCACTCTTGACTAACATTACATATTGGTCATTCGTGGAGACTTGCCTGTCTTACCTTATACACTATTTTCAGGAAGAAAACTTAACCCCTCCTGCCCAACTAAAAAAATACACAGAAATACACCTAATCTTTTAAATACCAAATATTTTAATGCAGCACAAATATATTTTTATAGAAATGTTACATACCTGACAGCATTCATCGTAAGCTAATATAAAAAAGTTTCAAGAAACATCCACAGTCATGATGAATAATAGCTAAAGATACTGTACAGTAAAATAAGTGACTTAATTACCTCAGAAGACTTGAAATCAGGCTGTAGGGAACACTAATTACTTGTTTTTAATTCTTAGATATGGATTAATTCACTGAGCTTATCTTGTGAAATACTTGGGTTTTTTACAACATATTCATAACTAAAGTTTTTGAAATTTGGACATGGAGGGCTATTGCTGTGAAATGTTGAGGATCAACTGATAACATTTTTGATGTTGCAAGAATAGAATCAGTAAAGGATTCTTGCAATGGTGTTAGTGGAAAATTTTTTTCAATGCAGGAAATGTAACATCCTCTAGTGTTCCAGTTTTGTAGTCTGCTGGATCACTGATAAGTTGATAGGTGACACATAATTCTAATTTAAAATCTAGAGAAGTATAGTTTTATTTAAGCAGTGGTTTTGAGTGTCAAAGGTGGAATTTTCTTGCTCTCTACCGGTTTGTATTGGTGATAGTTATGTGAAACTAATGAACATAGGTTATTTCCTACATATTTTAGCTTTAGATTGTACCTAGTTGTTCCAAAGGTTGTAAAAAGACCTTTACTAGGAAAGCAGATGTATCTTACGCAGCTCTTCTTAATGAGCAAAACAAGCTGAGGATTCTTCTCTACCCTTTTAAATACTTACATCTTTTTTCTACTTTCACTGCTCTCCCCTTTCATTCTATAAAACCACACCTGTGTGTTGCAGCCACGGAAGGCCCTCCTTAACAGTTGTTAGTACTGACTTATCCAACCTGTTTTCTAGGTTTCCTAGATCTAAAAAAAAGGCTGACTTAGAGTACCCTTCCAAAATGGCTGCTCTTAAGGAAGAAAGAGATGTGGAAGACTACAAGAGGAAAGGAAGACGATCCTCACAGGTGAGAGGATTGCTTTTAATTTTTTTTTTAATAAATAGCTTTAAGGAGAAATTATGTTAAAAGAACCATAATCATTTATATCTGATTTATTAATGTATAGCTTTTTTTCTACCTTCATCCCCATATTAGCTGAGTAACTTTAAATTGCAGTATATTATTTAAAATTTTAAGGTGTGGGGCATTAAGCATAGTGGGGAAATTTTGCTTTTCTAGTTTTCTCTTGTAACAAAACTGACTAAATTATGATTGTGATTAAAGCAAGGTGTAATTATTTTTTAAGAAATCCATGTATCCAGTTTCAACAGGAATCTGATTCCTTCTATCTTCAAAATCTTGTTTTTAGTGGCAATGGAGACAGATGGTGTTTGTTTATTTGGTTTTTTTAGTAAAATGGTTGCCTGATAGTCACTGCAAATGTAAGCCAGGTTGTACTAAGTAAAAATAACTGTTTTCTTTTGCTTCTAGCAGAAATACCGTAGACTGAATAAGGTGCGTAGTATAGAGAAGATGTTGGGGCTGTTCTGGGAGGATGGGAGCTAGTTAATTCGGGGCAGGGTATGGAAGTGGGAGGGGGGAATAAAAAGTCTTGATACCCTTCATAAAAATAACCTGGTTTAAGACTGGAACATAGGGCATTAAATATGCTTATGTAGCTTATAACAGACATTTTTCTGATTATTTTGATACGTTTGCCTTCTAGCATTGCTTTCCAGGGTGCCCAAATATTTTAGCTAGTACAACACTGCTGCAGTGTGGGAGGGCCTCTACACTGGAGTTAAGAACAAACCCTGTTGGAGTTACATGTATCTCGTAGCATATTGGTTACTTTGTATGGAAGTATGATGTACAGTCCTTCTGGAAGGAATGTTGCCATTCTCTGCTCTTGGACTTTGGATAGAATGTAACTCGGGTCACTCTGCAGCTTAGCAAAATAAGCTCTGCTGTTTTACAAAAGTAGCTTGCCGCATAATACATGTAAAGCTATTAAGTTTCTAGATAAAATGTTTCACAAAAAGTTGATGAGGCCACAGTTGCCTGTAAGCGCAGTCTAGGGTTGGGCTGCCTGGGGGCACAGGGCAGTCTGATCGGACAGGTGCAGCCGCAGATGAGAATAGGTGTGGTACCAGGCGGTTTATGGATACCTGCTGGTGTGTCCATTGCTTTGGTACGCAGGAATACTCTGCTTAAAAACGGTGCCATTGGAGAGATACTGCAGCTCCGAAAGGCTGATAATTCAAAACCCCTGCCACGTGGAAGTTAAGGTTATAGCAAACTGCGAATAAAGGCAGTGCTTATCTGCAGCAGTGTTGCCAAAAGGTTCTGGGATTTCTGCAAAGATGAGGATTTTTACAGGAATCCCGTGAGCTGCTAGTTGCCATTTTGCTGCTTCTTATGAAAGAGGTACAGTTAGACCGAGCTGAGCGTCGGGGGCTTAGGTGGGGCACAGGAATCAGCAGTTGGATGGTGATGACGAGGAAGGGCGAGCAGAGGGAAGCAGCTGCTCCCCCGCCGTGCCGGCCTC